ACTTCTGGTTGGGCAGCGATTCAGCAAATATACTGCACATGATACAGCTTCAGCCTAGTATTGCTTGGGCAACTTCTTTGCTTTGAGTAGACTTTTTGCCATATCAAGAATTGTTCGATTCTTCCTCTCAAGTACACCATTCAGCTGTGGTGTATAAGCTGGTGTTGTTTCATCCCAGCACGAGAACTTCTCCTCAGATCTTTTTTGTGCAGCTCCAACAACCCAATCCACAAAAAGATTTCTGCAATACTCTACGTTCATGGAAAATTTGCAATGGCTTTTGCAGGCACATTGTTTTCGTTCAAAGAAATATTAAAATAATATTTTTTAATTTTTTAAAATATATTTCTGATATAAAGACGTTAAAATAAGAAATATTAAAATAATATTGTTTTCGTTAAAATAATCTAAAAATATCAAAAAAAAAAATATTAAAACCATAATTTATCTAGCTAGATAGATAAATGTTCGTTCTTATCTTATTTTTAAGTGGCGTTTGCATAATGCATATTTGTTGTGTTATTTACTTTTTTATATATATAATTTTTAGTAATTTTAAGAAAAGTTGTTTTTTAAAATGTTTTTTTTAATACATTAAAATAATATTTTATTTATTTATTTATTTTAACACATCAAATCGTTGAACAAACACTAAAAAAATATTAATTTTAAATTAAAAAAATAAATTAAAAAATTTTAAAAAACATAATTAGATCACAATATTAAACAGATAGTTAATGGTTTGCGCACAATAAACCAACTCTTGCCAGGAACACCTGCTTTCATTTGTTTAAGAAATCATATTTTTGCATTACATCCTTCTTCACGCCAATATCATTTTTTTTAATAAATTCTTGTTCCTTGTAGTTGTATTTTTTAAAAAATAAATTTTTTTATTTAAAATAATTTTTTTTATATTCTTTATCATTTTGATTTGTTTTGTTAATGTAAAAATAATTTTTAAAAAATAAAAAAATATTATTTTAATATATTACCAAAAAAAATATTTTAAAAATAAACAGTTACTATATCAATTAAACACCTCTTTCTTCACGAGCTCTGTGACAATCTAAAGGCAGTTCATGGTCTCGGCAACATTATACAGACCGAAGACATTGCTTTTTCTTGCATATATAAACCTAATCATGACAGGACTTTGGACCTCATAAAAAGATAGGCTTTGCTCATTAGGACGATATTGGAGCTGCTCTGTCAAAGTTGTAACAAGTTGAGCGCTAGTTGCCCCCCCGATAAACAGACCGAAAGATTTTCAGGTTCCTGTTTAATATGTGATGCCCACGAAATTAGATTGAACCGAATCAAAGGTGGCAAAGAAAATATTTTAATTTAGAAAAGTAGTGTAAAGTGGCAGAAATGAATGAAATGTAAATTTTATGTATCGCCATTAATTACATAGCAAGCTGTTCCTTCTCTTCTTGTTCATCCATGGTATCACTAAGCGCCACACCTCTTGTCTCTGGCAAACAGAAAACAAACACACTAGAGCACAAGATCACCAAGCCAAACACCCCGTATGACAAGACCTTGTTACTTCTCCCAGCAGAAATTAGAATTGGGCTAAACACAGCTCCAAATACAGGTGCTTGCCTTACCATCGACGAGGCTCCGTTCCTCACGCATGTTGGAAACAATTCCAGTGTGTAAATCATTAGCATAATAAAAGCTGTACAGGCACTGAAGTATGATACCAGCTCCAGTCCAATTAGCACCACTTCCTTCCAGTTCATGATGCACATTATGCTGCAAATGCCACCTAATGTAGTGAATGCAAGAAGAGATCCCTTTCTGCTCCATTTGCTTACGATAAAGGAAAAGATGATATATGATGGTATTTCAGCTAAAGCATTGAATGCAACACTCAAGTAGATGTTGAAGCCCAGGTTTCCCACTGCTAATGGCATGCTGTAATACACAATTCCAATGCCAAAACCTGTTAGCATCACAATTAACAATCTTTGAAGAGCCCATTTTCTCACGAGTAAAATCTTGATTGGTGAATAGAGGTTAGTTTTTGGTGCTTCCTTTTTTAGGGAAATGTAGGGTAAGCACAAGTGATGTCCACGAAATTAGATTGAACCGAATCAAAGGTGGCAAAGAAAATATTTTAATTTAGAAAAGTAGTGTAAAGTGGCAGAAATGAATGAAATGTAAATTTTATGTATCGCCATTAATTACATAGCAAGCTGTTCTTTCTCTTCTTGTTCATCCATGGTATCACTAAGCGCCACACCTCTTGTCTCTGGCAAACAGAAAACAAACACACTAGAGCACAAGATCACCAAGCCAAACACCCCGTATGACAAGACCTTGTTACTTCTCCCAGCAGAAATTAGAATTGGGCTAAACACAGCTCCAAATACAGGTGCTTGCCTTACCATCGACGAGGATCCGTTCCTCACGCATGTTGGAAACAATTCCAGTGTGTAAATCATTAGCATAATAAAAGCTGTACAGGCACTGAAGTATGATACCAGCTCCAGTCCAATTAGCACCACTTCCTTCCAGTTCATGGTGCACATTATGCTGCAAATGCCACCTAATGTAGTGAATGCAAGAAGAGATCCCTTTCTGCTCC